CTCCGTCCCTCACGGTTCACAGCTCCTGCCGCCTGGGGGACACCGCGGCGAGGCCAGGAGCAGCCTCCGACCCCGTGCGCCGGGGCCGGGGTGGGAACAGCCGGCCCAGGCCGGGTCTCGGGTCAGGTAAAGGGAGTTGCAGCGTGCGTTAGGACACGAGTCTTGTCTGGAGAGCTCCCGGGCTGTAACAGCAAAAAGTGCCCAAAAGTGCCGGGGGGAAACATAACAGCATCCGCAGTCCTGGTGGGGAGACTAGAGCTCCCCTCAGGAGCCCAGCTGGCGTGCCGCGGGGCGGGAGGCAGGCGCTGCCCTGGAGCTGGCCGTGCCTGAAGGAGCGCCATCGCTGCAACCTCGGCGCGCCGGCTTTGAAAGGAAAAAAGTGACTTGCTCTGGTTTTGGGAAACTTCCCGGCTGCGGTCGTCTCTACTCTGAGTGAGATCCGCTGTGGGCAGGATTTAAAGTAAACTCTCCCTGCCTTTTTGTGTCTCCACAGTGAATAGCCCCAAGTTGCCGGATCTGTTCAGGCTTCATAATTAACCCATCTGGTCTTTTTATCTATAACAGGTTCTCCTATTAAAGCCTTCACGTATTTTGTCTGGAAGTTGGGCTGTAAGTCAAATACCGACTTGGCTGATGTTTGTCTAAATCACATATCTTAAAATGCAGTCACAAAACGGAGGCTCAGACAAAGGCCTTGGAGGGGAGGTTACTGCGCAAAAGGTGTCAGGAGAATCTGTGAATGACACCAGAAACGAAGCTACCCAAATAGAAAATGAAGGCAATTCTGTCAACACAGGTGAGCCCTGCTGGCTGGCTCGCTAGCGTGAATTTAGGGAACTGTAGTGAATATAAAGCCTAGAAATCAAGTCTGTCATTATTCATCTGGACGCAATATGAGTTCGTGCTTTCTCCCACTGAAGTAACTGAAAATCTTGCCATAGCTGAGGCTTACTCAATTGCTATCTTACTGTGCTTTTTTTTTCCTGTTTCTTTAAGTTTCTTTTACCTGGAGAGACACCTTTTCCTGTGTTACCATCATACAGCTAGCCTGACCTCTAAATGTTTTAATTATAAACATATTTAAATGAGCTGGTACAGTCATCTTGTCTGCACTGTCTCTTTTTAAGTGTCTGGAATACAAGTGCAGCTAGAAGGTGCAGAGCAGAAATCTGAAGAGAAGAACACGGCAAATGCAATTAATCAAAGGCAGTCTAAAGACAGCTTGAATGAGTATAGCACCGGAGACGCCTTCCGAAGAGTGCAAAAGGGTAAATTTGTAGAAGAGCTAGACTAACAGTGCTCGAGATGACTCAGATACACCAGTACTGTAGTCTCTCTATGTGCAAAGTTAGCAGCCTTGTTAAACTCAAATTATTGTTAACTAAATGTAATATACAGTAGATGTCTAAGACCATAAGAATATTGGTGCCAGTACTTTATATTGTCCCTGTACATTATAATAATCTTCTTCAGCCTTGACCTGACTTCCATATCTAAACAAACAAAAGCAAATGTCAACAATTTATTTTGCTACTACTTATTTTACTACTTTGCCTTCTAAAAAATTTAAGTTTCCTTTTATTAAAATGTCAGCAAAAATCTTGACTTACTTGTCTTACTGACATTTGCATGCAAGTACTCTTTAATATTTCTCTAAAGTAATTAGCAACATGACACTTTTTTTCCCCACTCATGCTGTTAAACTGCAACTTGTTTTCTTACAAAGATGTTAAAACTCAAGAGAAAGCCATCAACCGTATGTCCAGGGCAGATCAACAGAATGGACAAAAATCAGATGGCGATCACAGATCAGTAACCAGCTCATTCAGTCAAAGGACAGAAGAAAAGACGGGCTGTGTAAGGTAATAAGTTGTTTGTGGATGTTTTTTATTTAAATCATTGAGGTAAATGGGAGTTGCGCTGTTCTACAAATTAATTCAGGAAAGCAACTTTGAAGATGAATTTGACATCTATCGATAAATCAAGATTTGTCAATATTTCTAGCATCTGTACAACCTTTTTATGGCCACAGTAGCAAACTACATTCTAACCACATGATGTAGTCTGTTGAATGGATCTGGAGAAAATTGTGCAAACTCTCGTGGGAGTCATTTGTTAGTAGATTTAACCATTTCTAAGTATCAGTTCAGACAATGCACTGTATTAATTCATCACAACATACTACAGTTGTCAAGATAATTTTTAGCAGAGGAAATCCAGAGGTACCTCAGGTGATTGACAATAAGATACAACTCCTTTGTAAGCTCTGGCTGTAATTTTGGTCCAGCCTAAACCAGCATATGCTGCGATGGCTATTCTTTAATAGTTGTAAAAGGGGATTTTTCTTGTGTTATCTCTGATTTAGCACATTGCAAACAAATAATAAAATTTAAAACCATATTTGCTACTATTGAATAACATTGTTGAAAGTCTAGTCATGTGGGCTGGTTATGGAGTGAAATATAATGAACAATAAAGATTTACCCTCCGTTCCTGTACCTGCTTACATGCTGAAACTTCCCCAAATTTATATTGCTGCTAACTTTAACATAGCTGTTCCACTAGCAACAGTGACAGTCCTTTAAGGTCAAGGCAAAGACTCTCACTGAGTTATCAGGAGGTAGATTGGACTGCACGTATGTAGAAAACTTCATTATCCTGGGCTAATCAGCCTGGCACACTTCAGAATTAAGTTCTTATGAGAATGATGGCAGAGAGCAACAACTGTGCCTAAGATAATTAGTGTTTTGAAGGAATATGTTTTATGATCCTATAAATCGCCTGAGGATGCTGATAATTTGATTAAACGCTACTACAAATAGCAAAATGAAAAACAGTAGGATATACTGCAAGGAACAAGCATGCAATAATGTACCTGGGCTGACAATACAAGAAAACAGTATCTATTTAAAGGTTTATTCAAAGTTTATGAATCTTTCATTCCTTCAGAGATTTGCATCAGGCACATTTGACTTACAGGGCAGTTACAGGCTGACAATCATAGCTTATACTGCCCCAGGAAATCAGTTGAGTAGTATTACGGTTTTGTTCTTCAGCAATATTGAGATTTTTAGTGTAGTAAGTAAATAAATCTAAAAGCATATTCATTAAGAAAGGTTTAACTTTACTGCCTTTACTCAAGTTTTTTTGTTATTTTGAAAGTATCTTCCTGCCAAGAAAATCGTACTGTTACAAGCTTTAGTCCTGTGAATAGTTATGACCACAAATGCACAGTTCAATTTGGTGATGTGGAATTTAGAAGTAGAAAATAATTTTGGACCATTTAACATTGTACTTCTGAAATATTTCTTTAAGTGAGGAATATCTACTACAAGTTTTATTTTAGAATTTTGTTTTACAGTATCTAATTGTTCTAAACAGGAAGATACAGATATTTTCTGCTTTGGAATGTTTTTGCTAGGTGTTTTCCTAATGGGTTCCCAAGTTTCTCATCTATAATGTTACTAAATTTTATGTAACTCTGGACACCTTGCCTGCAAAACCAGTGTCCTGTCATTCTTTGCAAAGTCCCTGCTTGGGGAATACCAACTCTATGAAGCTGTCGATCCAGTGCTGCTTAGCACAGGGTCCCAGATAACAGCGTAACTCATCCCATCAGCTGCTTCTCACTGTGATCCATATCTGGCTTAACAGTTTTCAGGCCACCCATATACTCTGGGGCTTTGCTGTCCCACTGACTGCCCTGTGCAGCTTTGGCCTCATTTGGCCGCTAGCCCAAGTGCTTTGCCCCACCAGTGTCTGCTGTTTCATACTGGAGCTTTCTGCTCAATGCCCCTCGCTGAGTCCTCTGCCCCGCACTGGTCAGCTGTACCCCATAGCCACCCTCAGTAGCCTTTTCTTGCTTCTCGCTTCCATGAATCCCAGAAGGAGTGGAGCTGAACATGAAGCAATTACAATTGAACAGGTATTACTCATTTTCTTGCTGTGGCATAGCTAGCCAATCACACCTGTGTATTAAAACTGCCTTGAGTGCTATTTCCGAGTCCACATTTCACTAAAATGTCAGGTTGATAACTATTGATTTCTCTAGTCTGAGGGAAATGTTGCGTATTGGCTATGCTACCAAAGGTCCTGCACCAAAGCAGCAGGGAATGGAGGAAGGAATCAGAGAGGAAGGAACCAGATTCTAACACAGAGTCATGTTGCTCTTTTCCAAGAAGATGGACTCTCTAATTCCCTACCCACTTTCCTACATACTTTGTTTTTTAGCAGAAGAGCCTGGTAACTCACCTCAAACAGGTAGAAACGAAAGCCAGTCTAAAAATACCTGCTGCTTTTTTGAGTATGGTCTTGAAAGCTGTAGACATGTCTCTTGCATAGAAGAGCTATTAATTGTGTTGCGTTGCAATCTGTTAAAAACACAAAGATTTCAGAATGTGCACTGAAATACATTTTTTGTTTTGCTTCTGCTTCCCATTATTATTTTAGAATGACAAAAAAGGTTCTGAAAGA